ACAATAGTATATTCCTTCATAATCAGTCATAAATCCATTCTTCTGCTATTTAAATGTATTCTGACACTGTAGGCATGAACAATAGCAGAGAGTCCAGCATCCTATTGTCAAGACATATTTAACAGTTTCATTGGGAGTCCATCCTTGATTGAAAGTACAGATGCCTACTGCATTGTATTTTCACATATGGATATGACAGTCTCTATTACAGTTTCTGTACACCCCTTAAATGAAAAGCCATAAAACCAAATCAACAACAGGAAGAAAAAATTTTTAAAAAATTAACAACATGAAATTAAATAGCATGTTATTGAATGATCAATGTGTGACCTATAGTCAGTGAGGAAGTTAAAAAAAATTTTTTTTGAATAAATGAAAATAAAACCAAACCTATCAAACCACCTGAGATGTAGTAACAGCAGTATTGCGTTTTGCATGAAGGTTGTCTTATATCAGAGAGAATATATGATATTTGTTCTTTTGGGATTCGCTTGTTTCACTAAGCATAATGGTCTCTAATTGGCACCAATTTTTTTTTTTTGCAAATGGTAGAATTTCATTCTTTTCAATGGCTGAGCAGTATCCTATGGAATAAATGTGCTACAGTTTCTTTATCCATTCCTCTTTTGACAGGCATCTAGGTTGTTTCCATGTCTTTGCTATTATAGATTGTGCTAATATAGGACCACAGATCCCTTTCTTATATGCAGATTTCATTCTTTTTGGATATATTCCTAGAAGTGGGATAATTGATTCATACGGCAGATCAATTTTCAGTTATCTTAGTACTCTCCATATTGACTTCCATAGTGGTTGTACTAGCCTACACTCCCACCAGCAGTGAAAGAGGATACCTTTAGTCTCACATCTTCGTGAGCAGGTGTTATTGGTAGAGTTTTGAATGTAGGCCAATATCACTGGAGTTAGGTGGACATCAATGTGGTTTTCATTTGTATTTCCATGACAGCTAGAGAGCCTGAGCATTTTTTATATGTCTACTAGCCATTTGAATCTGTTCTTTTGAAAAATGTTCATTTCCTTCACCCATTTCTTCACAGGGTTGTTTTGATGTTGAGTTTCTGAAGCTCTTTGTGAATCTTGGATATTAGTCTCTTATCATTTACCCAAAGTAATATACAGATTGAGCATGATCCTAATAAAAATTCCAACAACATTCTTCTCAGAAATAGAAAAGATGATGCAAAAGTTCATCTGGAATCACAAGAGACCATGAATAGCCAAAGCTATCCTAAGAAGCTGGAAGAATCACAATTTCAGACCTCAAGATGCAGTGGTCATCAAAACAGTCTGGTACTGGTACAGAAACAGAGATCAGTGGAACAGAACAGAAACACCAGAAGGGAGCCCACACATCTATAATCAACTAGTCTTTGACAAGAAAACTGAAAATAATCCAAGGGAAAAGCCTGGTCTGCTCAACAAATGCTGTTGGGACAACTGGATAGCAGCCTGCAGAATTAAGAAGCAAGACCTTCACCTGTCACCTTATACAAAAATCAGCTCTAAATACATCAAAGATCTAAATCTGTACCCAGAAACCATCAAACTATTAGAGGAAAACATAGGACACATTCTCCAAGAAATAGAAACTGGAAAGGACTTCTTAGGAAAGTCACCAAAAGCACAGGCAGTCATACAAAACAAACAAACAGGACTACATCAAACTAAAAAGCTTCTATACAGCAAAGGAAACAATTAACAAAATAAAGAAGTAACCAAAAGAATGGGAGAAAATTTTTGCATACTACACAAGTGATAGGGAAGTAATATTCAGGATTCACAAAGAGCTTTAGAAACCCAGGGACAGTAAGAAAAAAAAGAAAAACCTGAAAAAATGGGCAAATGAAATGAACAGACATTTTTCAAAAGGTCAGATTCAAGTGGCTAACAGACATATGGAAAGATGCTCAGGCCCCCTGGCCATCAGGGAGATACAAATAAAAACCACATTCAGGTACCACCTAACTCCAGTGAGATTGGCCTACATTCAGACCTTTTGCTAATAACACTTGCTGGTATGGATGTGAAGAGAAAGGTCCTCTCCTTCACTGCTGGTGGGAGTGTAGGCTAGTATAACCACTGTGGAAATCAGTATGGAGAGTGCTTGGAGAATTGCAAATAAACCTGCCATATGACCCAGCTATCCTGCTCTAAGGTATATACCCAAAAGAAATAAAAACTGCAAATGAGAAGGGGATCTGTAATCTTGTATTTACAGCAGCACAATCCACAATAGCAAAGACATGGAAACCATCCAGATGTCTGTGCAAAGAGGAGTGATTAAAGAAAATGTGGTACATCTACTCCATGGAATATTACTCAGCCATCAAAAAGGATGAAATTCTACCAATTGCAATAAAATAGTCCCAACTAGAGATCATTATGCTCAGTGAAATAAGTCAATCCCAAAAGGGCAAATACAATATGTTCTCTCTAATATAAGGAAACCATAATGTAAATTGTAAGTTCAATTACACTTTCCATACCATTTTTTGCTGCATCCATGTGTTTTGATAATTTTGATTTCACTTTCATTTCTTTCAAATACTTTTTTTTTCTTGTTGAATTTATCCCTGGCTCATGAATTGCATGGTGGCTTCATTTTGCCCAAGAGGCTTTTTTGTTTTGTTTCATCACCCAAGACTGTTGGTTATTCAGTGGAACATTTTTTTCAACTCCATGGTGCTGTAGTTTTGTTGTTGTTTTAACTTCATATCGATTTTTGACCTTATTTCATGGCTTCTCATTTAAGGGAATGAATAGTGATGGAGTAATAGAGACTACTATATTCCAGATGTGAAGATACATTGCAATATGCATCTCTACTTCCAAATCAAAGATGGACTCCCAATGAAACTGTTGGACATGTCTAACAATGGGTGCTGGACTGTCTGACATTGTCTGTACCAGCAATGTTGGGACACAATTAAACGACAGACTGATGGAATCATGACCCCCTAGGAAGGACTATACTATTGTAACAATAGGGGGAAAATCAGTCAGGGGGTAGGATTTGGGGGAGGGGATAATCTCAGATTCTACAGAATAGTACTATAAAATTCAAAAGTTCAAAATAAAAATTTTTAAAACCCCAAAAACAATTAATTGATTTTACTACATTAAAAAATTAAAATCAGATTCATAGTGAACAAACGCCAAATGCGACAAAAACCCTAAAGATGGAGAAATTCCAAAACTACTAGAAGAAAACAGATTATGAAAGCTTTCTTTAAATAATATGTGCATTGCTTCCTGGCCTCTTGCTAAGAGCAAGTGTAATAATATATGCAAAACATTTTTAAAGGTTGGCATTAGGGTTCGACACAGTAGCAGGGTGGCTAAAGTCCTTGCCTTGTACACGCTGGGATCTCATATTGGCACCTGTTCATACTCCAGCTGCTCCACTTTTCATCCATCTCCCTGCTGGTGGCCTGGGAAAGCAGTAGAGGATGGCCCAAAGCTTTGGGTTCCTATACATGCATGGGAGACCCAGAGGAGGCTTTGGGCTCCTGGCTTCGAATCGGCTCAGCTCTGGCCATCATGGCCACTTGAGGAGTATACCAGTGGATAGACCTTTCTGAATTTCTTTCTCTCTGTAGATCTGCCTTTCCAACAAAATATAAAATAAGTCTCAAAAAAAAAAAAAGCCTGTCAAGGTGATCTCACTCAGGGGATAAATTGAGATTACACTACTTCATCGTAACCCATTTATAGATATTTACAGATACACATCTATTTACAGATATTGCCTCCCTACTATGCTGAGTAAGCACTCAATTTTACTCGTAATTCTTATCAGTTTTACGCAGAGGCACTATTACTAGCTTTCTTAAGTGATTTAACCTAGTCATGATACTAAATTTGAGAATCCATTCACTTGGAAGGACCAGCACCACTATAGGAATTATAACTACCATAATTCTTAGAGCATTCTTAAGTTGTAGAGCTGAATTTGCCAGCAGATTCTGAAATACTCCGTTTTCTTGGATGAGCAAATTGCCATCCTGTAGCACACAGTATGTGTCAGGTAGAGGACAAACCACGGCAGAGTGAATAGATAAGTGATCCTCCCTGTCACAGAGTGTACAGTCAGTAGGGTTACTAAATCGAAAAATCTTTATACCACTTGACTATTGACATACATGGATAGAAGACTAAGGCAAGTGAGGAAAACGTGAAAGCCTTAAGTCAGACTGGAGGTGGGGGCAGGGTGTCAGAATCCTGTCAGATAGCCTTGTCCTAGGGACACGATGTCCGAAATCGCCCAGACAACCCCGCCAAGTGTCTGAAGGAGATGTGCTGCAGCGACTTCGCTGAGTTCTGTGGTGGGGACGGGGGACGGGGATCGCTGACTTTATCCTACACCAAGGCACAGGCAGAGTTTTTACGACTCGAACTTAGGACCGCCCCTCCCCCCGGTATCTGCCTGCCCAGTATCTGCCCCTCAGATCCTCCGCTCGGCTCAGTCTCCTGTCAAGTCAGTCTACCGCAGGAGCTCGACTTTGAGTTTCTCTGCCCTTGAGGTGGTGGTTCCTCTGAGGCTGTCGGTCTCGCCATTTCACTTGGCCACACAATTCATTTCTCTCCGGCCTGACGGCAGGTGCTCTCAGGGCGCTCGCGAGCGCGCGGGTGGGCTGGAGTGGCCGGCGCGTCCCGGCCCTCTGGCAGCCGACCGCCCAGCGCGAGCGCTCGGCGCGCGTTCCGGGGCTGTCGCCGCCTGGTGCGCGCCGCGGGCCTGAGCTCGCGCCCGCGGCCTCCTCGCGCCCGCGGCGGCCCGGACGGCGCGCGCCACCTCACGCCGGTCCTGAGGTCGCCCGCGTCGCCTCTCGCGGCGCGCGCACCAGACCGGCCCAGGCTCCCCACTCGGGCCGGCTGGCTCGCGAGTTCTCTCGCCCCGCCCTCTTCTTCCGGCGCCGCCGCTAGGCGCTTGCGCGGGGCGCGTGGCCGTGGCTGGGGTCTCCGCCGCAGCCAGAGCCGCCGCCGCCGCTGCCGCCGCCGCCGCCTCAGTCAGTCAGTCCGTCCCCAGCAATGGCGGAAGGAGGTGAGCGAGAGGAACTGCTCTCGCCGCCGCCGGTCTCTCCGGCCAAGCGGTTGTGCTCGTGGCCCAGCCCACAGGCTCACCACCCTCGCGGTTCTCCCGGGGCGGCCGGCGGAGGGGTAGGGGGCGTCGGCAGCAGCTGCCTGGCCGCCGGGGCCCGCCCCCACCTGCAACCGGAGTCCTTGCTGGACTGCGCCGCCAAGACGGTGGCGGAAAAGTGGGCGTACGAGCGGGTCGAGGAACGCTTCGAGCGGATCCCGGAGCCTGTGCAGCGCCGCATCGTCTACTGGTCCTTCCCGCGGAATGAGCGGGAGATCTGCATGTACTCCAGCTTCCAGTACCGGGGCGGCCCCGGCGCCGGCGCGACTGGCGGCGCCGCGGGGTCTTCGCCGGCCGAGGAGGGGCCGCCGCCACCCCCCGGGGCCGCCGCTCCGGCCGGCCCCGCCCCCGGGGCCGCCGTGCCGGGGACGTCCCCCGGGCTGGGCGCAGGGGCAGGCGCGACCGGCGCTGGCGGCGGCGGCGAGGGGCTGCCGTTCCGCCGGGGCATCCGTCTGCTGGACAGCGGCTCCGTGGAGAACGTGCTGCAAGTCGGTAGGTGCTCGCCTGGCCCCTCGGTCCCTGGCCTCCTCTTTTTGCAGGTGCTTCCCTTTTCTGCTCGAACCCAGGCTTTCTGCCCAACTCCTGTGCAAGAGCAAGCCACGTAAAAAACTTTTCTCAACATTTCTTTCAGGTCCACTATTGCTCTTTCCACCCTCCGCTGGCCCTCTCCTCTTGGTCCCTATTGCTTTTTTTGTTTGTTTGTTTGTTTGAAGAGCAACTAGGTCTCTCTCTCTCTCTCTCTCTCTCTCTCTCTCTCTCCCTCCCTCTCCCTCTCTCCGTCCCTCCCCCCCCCCCCCCCCATTCTCTGTATCAAAGGGAGAAAGAAAGGGGCGGCAAAGCCTTTTGGGGAGGCGATGCTTTGAGAAAATTTTTTCTTTTTAGATTTAAGTGTAGGGAGGAGAGGGTTGTTACTGAATCGGGAGCGAACGATATTAGAAGCTTTGAAGGACAGGCTGTCACAAGTAAATCTGTAGTCCTAGGTGATTGAATCTGAGTGTAATTAACTTTTGACACTGGGAGAAAAACACGACAAAATGCTGTGCATTTCAGAAAATTTTAATTGTCTGCTTCAATATATTTTTTTTTTCCTCCCCCGGACCACTGGTACTTGGGAATCTAGGCTGCAGACTAACAATAAACCGAAGATGGAAATGTGACAGCTTCTCTTCTCCACACCCCCACCCAAGGAAAAAAAAAACCTACACAATCTGGAGTGGGGGTGGGGTCTGTCTTCCTTGTCAGACTGGGGTAAATCAAAAGCTGGTCACGTTGGGTTTTCAAACGCGTCTCATTGAACAAGTCTTCGCATTTGCTTTTGTTTTATCTTTCTGTTTGTGGAGAGATGAAAAATGATTTCTTTCTTGTTCTTTGGAGCGTCTAGGCAGTTTGCTAATCTTATTAAATATATAAATACGACGATTCTGATTTGGGAATGGTTAAGGGGAAGGAAAAAATGACAGTAATTAACATTGACTTGCTATGTGGAAAATTAAAGCATTGATTTTTTTCCATCTGGATCATTATAGTGTTCTGGAAGCACATATTTATGCGTTTTGTTCTGTAATGTGTACTCTTATTTATTGAAGAAAATATCGATTTTTGGAAGGAGTTGGAAGGAGGTTGTTTTCAGAATTAAACAAGCACAGGCACATATGTACAAACCAAAACATCTAGCTCTCTTATTCCCAGGGAAAACCAACATATATGGATAATTTTTCTTTTAAAACATAATATACTATGGTGTTCTATAGAATGTAATATGCTTGTGGTTGAGAGTCATTGAATCATTTTTTTCTTGTTGAAAGGATAGCTTGCCATGATATGTTATGTAAAGGTGAAATGCGGATTTATCCTTTGCCAGAATACAGTGACTGGGTTGAGAAAGTTTTGCTCATTTAAAAGGGCTAGTCCTTTGTGTATTTGTATATATTCTTGAAAGAATGAATTGAATAAATAGGTAATTCAGGCATATATCTTCAATGCTGAAATATTGAAAACATGAAAATGAATATAGTCATTTATTGATCTAGGTTAATTTTTATGGAGTTGATACTTAACTTTTTAAGCCTTTAAAATGTATTAAATCGACAATTCTTAAGTGTACGAGATGAATTTGAAAGAATTTTCAAACTTCTGGGGATAAATGAAGGAAGAGTTTTGAGGAGGTATCTATTTTTAGAGACTCAGATGTTAAATTCCAAATGCAGATTGTGCAGGTCTTCTAGACTGATAACGGATGTGTTTATGGGTGCTAGGCACTGCTATGATCTTTCAGGGACCTGGAGAAAAGATCCATATAAATATGTTTTCAGATTCACTTTGGATTTCAAATATTGACAAGAGAGTGAATTAGTCTCTTTTAAGTATGCTGTTTGAGAACTAGAAGCTGAATGATCATTATTTTTTCTGACCTTTCTGGTAGGTATAGGGGAGAAGGATATTCCATTCTGTAATTTTGAGCTCTGCATCTTGGTGTGAATGTAATATGTGTAACTAGAGCTCTCCCCTCAGCTCCTAGTCTTAAAATTGTGAGTATAATGACTTCATCTACATGATAGGTTTTATGAAAGTATTGCCAAGAGATGAGTGAGGAAGTGATCTGTATATAGCAAGGCAGTAATCATGTTCTCCAGTTTATAACATCACTCCAACCTCGATTTAATTACCAAGTGATGTTAATTAAGAATTCTACAAATTTCCTTACCAAGCTATATCATAAGTGCAGAATTGGGTGGCTACTGAAGGTTGCTGCTTTGGGAAGAAGGAAGTTGGCATGTCTCTATAACCGTTTCTTTTTAAGTAAAAAGTCATAAGGAATTTAAATGGAACACAACATGAAAGTTTTGAAAGAAAGTAAACTAAGACAAGCATTTGTACAAAAAGTAGATGCATTAAATTCTGTAATGTCTGAGTACCTTCCAGTCGAATATGGTACCCAGGAGAGTATAACATTGTTAGCCTCCTTAAAAAATAGGCTATTGATGTAAAAGGTAATTTTAGAGGTTTTCTTGTCTTAAGATTAGTTGTCTGTAAACTTACTACCATCTACTCTTTATGGAAATGTAAATTAAGGCTTAGGGAAACATCTGCATCATACACGTAATTTTTTTTTTTTTACAAATGTGTTTAAAATTATTTTTTAAAAATAAAATGGCTAAAAAGAAAAAGACTGAAGTACCAAGTGCTGACAAGAATATGAAACAACTGGAACTTTCATACATTGCTGGTGGGGTATTAAATGATGCAGTTACTTTGAAAAAGTGATTATTTTAAAATAACTCTTTAAGAATTATTTATTTATTTGAAAGGAAGTGAGGGAGATCTCCCATGTGCTGATTCACCATCCACATGGCTGCAGCTGAAGTCTGGAACCTGAACTCCCTTTGGGTCTGCTACATAGGTGCGCAGGGGCCCAAGCACCTGGACTGTCATTTGCTGCTTTTCCTAGATCATTAGCGTGAAGCTGAATCAGAAGAGAACTGATGCTGTGATACATGGTGCTGGTGGTCATAGGCAAAAACTTAACCTACTGTGCCGCAACACTTGTCCCAGTTTCTTTCTCTTGTTTTAAAAAAAAAAAATTTAGTCATTTAAAACCATTTCTTGTGATCATACACTTAACCATAAGATTCAGCAGTCTTACTCCTAAATGCTTATTTGATAGAAAGAAAAGCTTTTGTTCATATGAGTACTTACAGCAGCTTTGTTTGTCATAGTAGCAAACTGCCAACGATGCAAATGCCCATCAAAAGGGTGAAGGGTTACAGGAATTATTGTATAGTCATGTAAGCAGTATAAAGGAAGAAACTTCTGGTAGCCTAGCAACATAGATGAATCTAAATAAAAAGAAGCCAGACATGAAAGACTACATATAATATTGTTCAATGTACATGAATTCTAGAAAGCCAAAAGTTATATTGACAGGAAGATCAGAAGGAAAGGATTGCGGCACAGTGCATGTATGTATGTATACATGGGATATACACATACATATATGTAAGTATATATATATGTACATCTTTATATAGGTATAATAGGCACACGTGTGTGTGCATGTATCCAATATTGGAGGGTGGGTTTGAGTACCAGCTATTGCAGTTCCAAACCAGCATGAAGCTGATGCATTCTGGGAGGCAGTGGATGATGGATAATAACATGCTTCAGGCCCTGCTGCCAAAGTGAGAGACTTTGATGGAGTTATAGGCTCCTGGCTTCGACCTGGCTCAGCCCTGGATGTTATGTGCATTTCAGGAGTGAACCAGTGGATAGAAGATTTCTCTGTGACTCTGCCTTTCAAGTAAACGAAAAACAGTAAACATTTAAAAAAAATTAAAAAGAGGAAATCAGAGCTGATTGTTGCTATAAGTATTCTACATTATGTGGTGGTCATATGACTATGTCCAAACTTATGTGCTTACATTGGTTATAAATATTAAATATTCCTCAACAATTAGATTTATAAATGAATCTTTTTTAAAAATTTATTTTTATTGGAAGATCAGATTTACAGAGAAGGAGAGACAGAAAGATCTTCCGTCCACTGATTCACTCCCCAGGTGACCAAAACAGCTGGAGCTGAGCCAGTCCAAAGCCAGGATCCAGGATCTTCATCCAGGTCTCCCACGCAGGTGCAGGGTCCCCAGGTTTGGGGCCATCCGCTACTGCTTTCCCAGGCCACAAGTGAGAAGCCGAATGGGAAGTGGAACAGCTGTGACGTGAACTGGTGCCTGTATGGGATCCTGGCACACACAAGGCAAGCACTTTAGCCACTAGGCACTGCACTGGGTCCAACAGTTTGATTTTAAAAAAGGGGGGGGGGAATTATGGGCCCCAGTCTTGATTTCACAGTAGAAACACTGGGGGGAGATTAAAAAAACACCCCAAATTAGTTCAAAATCTGTTGAGAATGAAGACAAAGCTCTCAGATGGTTTTATGGGCAGTAGCCAAGGTTGAAAAATGCTATTTTAGAATAATGATCACCTTTATTAATGTTGCCAACATTTCTAAATTTTTTGTTGTCAATCAAAACATTATACAGTTTCTACAATACAAATGTGTGTGTATCAACTTTCTTTTCTACTTTTGGCTATGCTATTTCACTTATTTTAAAGTTATGGATAGGGTTTTTTAAATAAAAATTTATTTATTGTTTTTAAAATAAATTCTTAATTTTTTTGGAAAGTCAGATATACAGAGAGGAGGAAAGACAGAGAGGAAGATATTCTGTCTGCTGATTTACTCACCAAGAAGCCGCAACAGCCAGTACTGAGACAATCTGAAGCCAGGAGCCTGGAACCTCTTCTGGGTTTCCCATGTCGGTGCAGGGCCCCAAGGTTTTGGTCTGTCCTTGGCTGCTTTCCTAGGCCACAGGCAGGGAGCTGGATGGGAAGTGGGGTCGTCACAATTAGAACCAGTGCTCATCTGGTATCCCAGCATGTGCAAGGTGAGGAATTTAGCCACTAGGCTATAGCACTGGGCTTACATTTATTTA